GTTTCATTTCAGATTTATGTTTCCTTTCTTCTCTATTCCCTAGATTCCTCAAAAATGTTTTGAGCTATATAACTTTCTTCAAAATTTCTTCGATTAAGTCTGTGGGACAATGTTTGATTTTCCAAAATGCCCTCGGGAAGAAGGCTAATATATAATTTGGGGATTCATTTTAGATTGGTTAAAACCCCTTTTTGGTCCCTAAACTATTGTACGGACTCCCAATTTGATCCCTGAACTAAAAAAATCCTTGATTTGGTCCCTACTGTTTACCATTTTTACCCCGATTTGGTCCTTCCGTCAAATATCAACCTACGTGTCTCATTACTTGACGGGAAAACGATGACATGTACAAGCATTTTGACACCTAGGATGTACAGATTACCAAAAAAAATGAGATGGCAAGAAAAAAATCTTAAAAAATTTCTTATTCCTTTTTTTTTTCTTCGTTTGTTTTTCTTTTTTCCCTTTCTTCTTCCTTTCCCTTTCCTTTAACCTTCTGCAAACCCTAACTCTTAATATTAAATTCGAGAATAACACAACAAATCAACAGATTAAACTCAATAGATACTTGACCCAACGGCTACTGGGTTTGAAATGAAACCCAGAGCCTTACTTGCAAGAACCCAGCAGCTGCTCAAACCTAGCACCCGCTGGGTTTGAAATGAAACCCATCGCCTGCTGGGTTCGATTTCGAACCCAGCACCTGTAAAAACCTAGTGGCTGGTAGGTTTGAATTGAAAAATCGAACCTAGCACCTGCACAGGAACCCAGCAACTGCCTTACCTTGCCTTCCTCATCTTCATCAACCAATTTTTCATCACAATCAAACAACAAAATCTAAAAAACAATTTCATCACAATCAACCAATTTTTTTAATTTTTTGCACCTGGGTTCGCAAGGAACCAAACCCAAGCGTGCTGGGTTCGGTGCGAGCCCAGGCAAGCGTCCTTGCGAATCTAGCACGCTTGAGTTCCTTGTGAACCCAGGCGCTGGGTTTGCAGTTCGCAAGGAACGCGAACCCAAGCAAGCGTCCTTACGAACCCAGCACGCTTGGGTTCCTTGCGAACCCAGCGCCTGGGTGGGTTCGCAAGGAACCCAGGCCTGCTGGGTTTCGAGG